CCTGTGTATATATAATTACTTCAAAATAAACTGTTAAAAGCTTGTTTAAAAATTAACAGAACATATTGCAATATGGCGAGTTATGGATTATTAACATTTTGTCCTTCAAAATTTACAGTATTTTCCTATTTTCTCAATATAGCCCTGTATTGCTTCGAAAATGCATTAAGTTTACTGAAAATAAGTCTGACTTATTTTTCGATGGCTTAAGGCTAAAAATAAATAACAGGCAGGATAAAATCCATGAATAGCCCAGACACTGAGATGCAACTTTTCTGCAAAATTGCATCTGAAAAGTCATCCAATCAGAGTGATTTCTAGAATTTTCTCACATTAGTAACTCTCTTCTTCCCTACCTGTTTAGTTACAAGGTAGTTAACCACATTTTCTCTTTAAAAAAATAAACTAAGTCAATATTCCTGCATCTGCTATAAATGTAACTGTTAGCCTAGTTTCTCAAGCCACATTTCTCTTAAGTTCCCTTAAGCCTTTGGTATTTTCAAATTAAACAGCCCTGAAACAAGAAGATATGTGATTCAGGTTTATATTAAATAGAAACCTACTAGTTTCCATACACTTCTACATTTTTTCTCTCCCACCCAAGCTCTTCTCCACAGATAAAGCTGTCTTTCTTCAATGATGTCACTCTCCAGGAAAATTTCCAAATTCTTCAACAAGCTTTATCATGCTCTTCAGGATTTGGTTCCACTTTCCTTTTCTATTTCATTTCCTGCCACTCTCACATCTCCCATCTCAATCCAGGAAGGAAGGAAATTAACAGATTTTGATCATCTGCCCTTTGCTAGACACTCTCCTAGGAATTTCATACCTCTCTTGCTTTTGCAAATATTCTTCAGCCCTTCAGTTTTTTGAAATTCGTCTTTCAAGATCAAACTCTCAGATGAGACTTCTGTGATGCCTGATAGTTTTTTTTTTACCTTTCTCCTCCCCCTCTTCTCCAAATTATTGAATTAAATCACTCCTTTCCTGTGTTCACACAGCATTTCACAAATAAATCTATCATAGCTTCTATGTCATTAAATTTTACACTGCTATGTCTCTAAATTGTGACTCAGGGATAATATCTAAATACCTTTTTAGATTCAATACCTAATATGATGTTTAAATATATATATATATATATATACACACACACACACACATATATGTTCAGTTGAATTAAATGAATGAAGCTAATATATTTATTTAGTTTTTATAGTTAGAAATCCCTCCATTTCCAAAAAGCAGGATTGTAATGCTCTTTTTGAATAGTAACTTGCTAAAGATAGTTACATAGTTTTGTGCCGGCAAAGGAAAGAAAGAAATAATTTCATTAGAGAGCTCCTGCCTGTTCTACCCATTCTCTCTGTACCTGACCTGATGACAGACTTAGATTTCTTTTTTCTTTTTTTTTTTTTTTTTGGCCTTCAATTTTTAATTTTCTTGACCCCTGAGGAGGGGTAGGCTCTTTTTTATTTTTTTAATGTTTTTTTTAAATTTTATTTTATTATGTTATGTTAATCACTACACATTACATCATTAGTTTTTGATGTAGTGTTCCATGATTCATTGTTTGTGTATAACACCCAGTGCTCCATGCAGAACGTGCCCTCTTTAATACCCATCACCAGGCTAACCCATCCCCCCAT